CCTCAAACACGTCCTTGTACTCAGCCAGTAGTGATTCTTGGTCATTTTCAGTGTTATGTCACTCTTTTCACCAAATTGAGCTTTTCACATGCACTGATTCCTAGGATAGGCTGTACACTCTTTTCCATGATCAGCAGATGTGCTTTGAACTGTTTTCCTTTGTGCTGTAAAGTTACTATGCAGCTTCCATTGACTGGTACGTTCTCCCCAGTATAACCAGTAACCTTGTTTTCCACAGGATGTATTTTGCTCTTCATTTTCAGTGTTTTGTAGTCATCCAGCGACAACAGGTTTACCTGAGCTCCAGTATCAAGCTTGAATGGTATTATAGGTTAATTCACAGTCAATGGCACAATCCATTCAGCTTTTACTGCATTGCATATTTCCACAGAATCAACAAAGAATTCTTCAGTCTCCTCTTTGACTGTGTGAACCTTTTCTTTGTAGCCTCAGCCTTGCAGCATTTTGAGAAATGATGATTTTTCCCAAAGTTGTTACACGATTTTCCATATGTAGGGCAATTTTTTGGCTTGTGGATAACTCCACATTTTCAAATTCACACGTTTTGCTCATTGTGTTCAGCTCAGCCAAGTACTGGTCAAAACGGACTCCCTGTTTCTGATCATGAGAGAGAAACTTGTATCTCTCAAACGTGATGTTCTGGCTTGGTACAAAGTACTCCTCAGATTTAGCCATGAGCACAGTCAATGTCAAGTTTGCCTCATCTATCTGAAAGCTATTGTAAATGTCCAATGCATCCTCTCCGATAACATGCAGAAAAATGGAATCTCCCCCTGCTCGACTGGCTGCTAGGTAGATATTGAATCTCTGCTTGAAACGTTTCCAATTGTCAGTTAGATTGCCTGTTAACTGCATAGGAGTAGGAGGACTAAGCCTATCCATGACGGGAAACACTCGGGGAACAGGTACAGTTTCAATTTCTCATACTTCGGTAAATTGCTCATCAACTTGCTCGTCAACAGATTCCAATGCAGCCCCGTTCTCGCTGCTGTCACTCTCGCTGCTGCGGCTCGTTGGCATCGCTCTTGCTAGTTAGCATCTTCGACTACTCACGTCACTTGACTTGTGGTAGAATGTTCAATTTTCGTCGCGGAAATTTGCAGAGTTACTCCTTTCTTTTCTCTGTCTCGTCATAGCGACTACCAATCTGACACCATGTTACGTTTGTTCCTTGTATAATGACAAACCGGGGCGTAGGTTTAACTACTTTTAATAAACTGATACTTCAGCTAGCAATCCCCTTGTGGAGCAAGAAATACTTCAACTCCCCCACCCTTGCATAGCTTGCTGGGTAACGTAGTCTTAATGTTAATACACAACACACCAAGCGTCAGCTGGAGTGGTGTAAAGCTTGCCGCCATTCGACTCTGGAGCAGTGGAAACGCGTTCTCTGGAGTGATGAATCATGCTTGACCATCTGGCAGTCTGACTGATAAATCTGGGTTTGGCGGATGCCAGGAGAACGCTACCTGCCCCAATGCATAGTGCCAACTGTAAAGTTTGGTGGAGGAGGAATACTGGTCTGGGGCTGTTTATCATAGTTCGGGCTAGGCCCTTTAGTTCCAGTGAAGGGAAATCTTAATGTTACAGCATACAATGACATTCTAAACGATTCTGTGCTTCCAACTTTGGGGAAGGCCCTTTCCTGTTTCAGCATGACAATGCCCCCGTGCACAAAGCGAGTTCCATACAGAAATGGTTTGTCGAGATCGGTGTGGAAGAACTTGACTGGCCTACACAGAGCCCTGACCTCAACCCCATCGAACACCTTTGGGATGAATTGGAACGCCGACTGCAAGCCAGGCCTAGTCGCCCAACATCAGTGCCCGACCTCACTAATGCTCTTGTGGCTGAATGGAAATTTGTACATCGCTCTGGATAAGAGCGTCTGCTAAATGACTTAAATGTAAATGTAAGTCCCCGCAGCAATGTTCCAACATCTAGTGGAAAGCCTTCCCAGAAGAGTGGAGGCTGTTATAGCAGCAAAGGGGGGACCAACTCCATGTGGTCCTCTGTAGCTCAATTGGTAGAGCATGGCGCTTGTAACGCCAGGGTAGTGGGTTCGATCCCCGGGACCACCCATACGTAAAAATGTATGCACGCATGACTGTAAGTCGCTTTGGATAAAAGCATCTGCTAAATGGCATATTATATTATATTATTATATATTAATACCCATGATTTTGGAATGAGATGTTCGACGACCAGATGCCCACATACTTTTGGTCATGTAGTGTATCTGAGATGAGTGGATAAATAGAACATTGTTTTCTCCCTTGTGGATATACTCCTTTAAACTGAGGCATTTTAACTTGGAGCTTTTAGCACTACCAAGGGACTTCAGTATAAAGGACGCTGACTTGGACTCGAATGCTAGGGACTTGGGACTCGAGGTTTAGTGATTTGACTACATCACTGCCCAGAGGGGTCTGAGATGAAGACAACTCTGACAGATCGGTCCATGGGCAAAGAATATCTGTGTCTGAAATGGTGCACTATCACAGCTGTCAAACTCATTCTAAAGAGGAGGAGTGTCTGTGGGATGTCCCAAGGATCCCGTTTAGACTTGTCCATAGTGACACCTGTTATTCTTGTAGTGCAGGGATGTGTTTTTGTCCTAACTCAGCCCCCTTCGTGCACATGGCAAAGTTTAACCACATGAGACAACTCCGTGCTGACTGACAGGTCCAGTTTTGGCAAATACTACATGCATTTTTAGGTTGGGCCCTAATTTATGTGCTTTCTGTCACCTGGAGCTGCATGGCAAATGGTCCGGGAACACAAGAAAAGCATAAAGGACAATGCCAAAGGACTAGTCAGCCCTTCCACCTCTGAGAGGCCAACATGTAAATCTCTCTGTTACAGTATCCAGAGGACTGACTAATGAATGTGATAGAATAATACTATAGTATCCATGTATGGTATCTATCTGAAACTTGTTCACTGAGGATAACTCTGATGCTATCTACAGTGCATTTGGAAAGTATTCTGACCCCTTGACTTTTTCCACATTTTGTTACGTTACAGCCTTATTCTACAATGGATTAAATTGTTTTTTCCCCCCCTCATCAATCTACACACAATACCCCATAATGACAAAGCAAAAACAGGTTTTTAGAAAATGTTGCAAATGTATTCAAAATAAAAAACTGAAATAACATTTACATAAGTATTCAGACCCTTTACTCAGTACTTTGTTGAAGCACCTTTGGCAGCGATTACAGCCTCGAGTCTTCTTGGGTATTACATTTACAGTTTAGTCATTTAGCAGACGCTCTTATCCAGAGCGACTTACAGTTAGTGAGTGCATACATTTTCATACTGCCCCCCTGTGGGAAACAAACCCACAACCCTGGCGTGGCAAGCGCCATGCTCTACCAACTGAGCTACAGGGGACTATGCTACAAGCTTGGCACACCTGTATTTGGGGAGTTTCTCCCATTCTTCTCTGCAGATCCTCTCAAGCTCTGTCAGGTTGGATGGGGAGCGTCGCTGCACAGCTATTTTCAGGTCTCTCCAGAGATGTTCGATTGTGTTCAAGTCCAGGCTCTGGCTGGGCCACTTATGGACATTCAGAGACTTGTCCTGAAGCCACTCCTGCGTTGTCTTGGCTGTGTGCTTAGGGTCGTTGTCTTGTTGGAAGGTGAACCTTTGCCCCAGTCTGAGGTCCTGAGCGCTCTGGAGCAGGTTTTCATCAAGGATCTCTCTGTACTTTGCTCCGTTCATCTTTCCTTCGATCCTGACTAGTCTCCCAGTCCCTGCCTCTGAAAAACATGATGCCACCACCATGCTAAACTGTAGGGATGGTGCCAGGTTTCCTCCAGACGTGACGCTTGGCATTCAGACCAAAGAGTTTCATCACATCAGAGAATCTTGTTTCTCATGGTCTGAGAGTCCTTTAGGTGCAACATATCGAATGCACTGTATATATGTATGTATGATCTCTGTGGTAACTTGTATATCTGTACAGGGTTAACTCTAAATTACTCTATGCAAAGGGTTTTTAATATCCTCTCAGGAATTCTGTGTTATTTACATTGGTCTCATCCACCACACAAGCCTTTAGATGCTGTAACACCCTGTGGAGATTGGGCCTTGGTGGTCAGGTTATTGTAAACTTGGTATCGTTTGATTGATCAATGGTGGTTGGTTTTGGGTTGAAAGAGTTACACCTTCAATGTGATACATTTAATTAAATGTCTTTGTTCTCTCTTATCCTGTCTCCAATCCATGGAGGAAGGTTGTATGACCATTCTCATTTCCTAGGCCTCTAGGCATCTCTTTGTTCATGCTTTGTCTTGTAAGTTAACCTTAGAATCTATATGCTTGGAATAATGCCTTGTAATGCTTGTAAAGCTTTATGCCTTGTATGATTAAATATCTGCCTTTGATATAGACAATTATCAAACCAATTCCTGCTAGTCAACTCATTGCCTAATGCTTGCTTGTATATTTTAATTATCTTTATGGAGTCAGAAACATTTTAATAGGCTAATTGCTTAGTTTTATTATGAGTCGCATGTGAGATATATATAAAATATTACTTCACTACACACTCTACAACCAGTCCCATTCCTATTCAACAGGAGAACTAAAACACTGGTGAAATAACACATACAGTGTTTATATTTGCGGTAGTAATAAGTGCACCAAGTGACAGAGAAGAGCGGAAGACATATTACTCTGTAACATAAAATCCTTGAAGTGCAAAATCCAAACCAAATGATATTTTGAACGACCTGAGTCAAAGCAACTGTTCTGAATAACCTGAACTAGCTCATGAAAATTACCTCCACTTTTGCAAAACATAACTCTGCAAACTGAACATACTGCAGGCATTCCGTGTAGAGGTTTTTTCCCTTTGGGGATTATTGTGGATCTGAAGTTAAGATTACGACTCAGAGCTCACTACAAACCAGTGAACACTGTGGACTGGGCTCCCTTGACAAACAGTATAGTCTTTGTTTTAGAGCAGAGATACTTATGGTGACATTATCCTAACCATTACTGTTCAGTGTTCGAGGTCAGAGATCAAGGAAAGAAAAGGCTGAGGCTGATTGACTGCTGGTGGGCATGAGGTCGCACCTGGGAGTTGTATCACTGTTGTCCTCGAGACAGAGTAGCGGTGTGTTTGTAGGGGTAAAGCTCTCCGTTTCAACACTCAAACGTTCCCTCCCGTCTCTATTTTCCGCCTCAGGCTGCATGTCTCCATTCCTCTCTGTAAGGGTTGATGGGCACACAGACTTCCCTCTGGTCACCAGCTCCATGCCACTGAACAAAGAGAGTCTGCCCCCACAGGGCTGCTCGGTCTGGGGGTCCATGACTCGGATGGGGTCCCTCTCTGTCTGGAGCTCTGGGTCTTTAACTGTAAGATCTGAGGTGAGCTGGGTCTCACCAGTCCTGAACCCAGTCTGACTTTCCACAAATTCTTCATCCTGAGTAGCAGACCTCTCCTCCTCATCATCATGGTTGTCATTTAGTAACCTCTCAGATGTATCTCTTTGGGCCCAGCCCAGGTCAGGTAGGGGAGGGGGGTGAGTTCGACTCCCACGTAAGGGCTCAGGGTCCCTCACTCTGTGATGGTTAAGGACCGTGATGTCACATGGGTGTGTTGGCAGTAGAAGTGCGGGACTTGTGAGAGTAGGGGGCTTTTTTTCCGAGGAGGAGGAAAGAACACTACTGGCTGCTGCTACATTACGTCTGGCACCACTGATTGGCTGGCCCATCAGAGCCTCAAACTGACGAAGGATCTGGAAGGCAAAACCATTCTTCTTTACAATGCAAAACTAAATATGTGCTCAGTCAACCATCATCGTAGATCATCATCTTAGATTTTAACACCAAGGCTACTCCCATGCTCCCTCTCTGGTGTTACCTTATTTAATATTATAAAAGGTAATAACTAGATTGTTATTATGTGTTACCTTGGTGGCCTTGTTGGCTACAGCCCCTGGGGGTCCCTCACTCAGATGGGCCAGCCTCCTCTGGGTCGCCCCGAAGATTTGCTCCAGAGACAGCAGATCAGAGATCATGAGACAGGCCACAGCACACAGAGCCCTCTGGGGGGACGAGGGAAACAGCACATTCACACACATTTGATGTTTGAGATTTTATGTTTATTTTTTCAAGAAAAACCTGGTCAAAATAGCAGCATATTCCAACAGTCAATTGACTGTACCATCTGGACAATTTGTGACGGGTCATGCAGTCTGCGAGAGAGCAACTCCACCACCACCTCACAGTTCAGAGTGGAACACCTGGGGACAGAGGAGAGGGAATTAAAACATATCCAAAAAACACTGGACAAAAATCAAGGTGAAGGTAGAGAGGAATAAAGGTTGAATGTTCTAATAAGATGCAATCTATTGGTCGGTACTAACTCCTTGATGAAGTGCTGGCTCTCCTTTCTGGACAGGAAGACCTTGGAGCCCTCAGTCATTCTGCTTATTAGTGCCATCTCCTGGCCACAGTCCCCTAACTGCATGGCCTCCACCCTGACAGAGAAAGATGGATATAGGAAGAAAAAAGGAGACTCGGCATGGTTGACTCATTTCGTATTTTGACGGTGAAGACTTACTATATCATTTAATATTTTTTTGGACTCACCGTTCTGAAAGGTCCCCGGAGCTCTCCCTACTGGCTCCCGATTGGCTCCCGGTGCCACATGACTTGCTGCTCCCACCCCCCGAGGCCTGGCTGTGGTCAACGTTCCCCTGAGAGGAGTTGTGGGGGGAGCTATGGCCACTGTCAATCTCCTCCCAGCCCCCGCCCACCTGCCCTGGACACCACTGGGAAACTGAGAGGTGGAAGAGAGAGAAGGAACTGGCCATATGTAATAACAGCCTAATGATCTAACCGCAATATAACAGCCAATTTAAAAACACCAACAAACCTCTCTCACCTTTGGGTCTGTGAGGAGGCACAGTGTAGGCACATGCTGGCACTGCCACCTCTACAGGGCCTGAGGGTGCCACCACCGCCCGGTAGTGGTTGTCATGGAGACGGATACCCTGTTGTTCCGTCGGGGGCAGGACGGCACTGGCCACAAACTCAGTAGCCTTGTGGATCTTGTCCATCAGGGTCTCGCCACCTGCCGGAAACAGAAAGCAATATAAGAGACAGACAGGACATGGATTTGACTGGGTGCATTTGAAATGTATTCGAAAAGGGCCACTGAGCCACATGAAACCAAAATGGCGGCCTTGTCGCTATCACCTACTTGTTATCTTCTTCCCTGGGCAGTATCCAAACCCCTGCATTCTGGATCCATGGGCAGACTCCGACCCGATGCCTGGAAGGAAAGAGCGAACCTAGACCTTAGCAATCAAAGACAACCATTGTCCCTTTCTCCACTCTCTCTTCCGATCCACTCCCTCTTCCCCCCGTCTCTTCCTCTCCCTCACTCCTCCCTGCTTCATCTCTTCTCCTCCATCCTCCCTCCATTTTTCTTCCTCAATCTCTCTGTCAGGAGGATTGGGTAAACTTGATTGTAATCAATTCAGTAGCCAGAGGTCTGTCATTAGTAGCAGTATTAGGGCAGAGATAGTGTGTGCCCCAGGGCTCGGTTCTAGGCCCTCTCCTCTTCTCTAAATACACCAAGTCACTCGGCTCCGTCATATCCTCACATGGTGTCTCCTATCATTGCTATGCGGATGACACTCAACTACGTTTCTCTTTCTTCCCTTCTGACACCCAGGTGGAGACACGCATCTCTGCGTGCCTAGCAGATATCTCAGCTTGGATGTCGGCCCACAACCTCAAGCTCAACAAGAAAGAGCTGCTCTTCCTCCCGGGGAAGGCCTGCCCGCTCCAAGTCCTCTCTATCACTGTTGACAACTCAAACGGTGTCCCCCTCCCAGAGTGCAAAGAACCGTGGCGTGACCCTGGACAACACCCTGTCATTCTCTGCAAACATCAAAGCAGTGACTTGCTCCTGCAGGTTCATGCTCTACAACATCTATAGAGTACGACCCTACCTCACACAGGAAGTGGCGCAGGTCCTAATCCAGGCACTTGTCATCTCCCGTCTGCACTACTGCAACTCGCTATTGGCTGGGCTCCCCGCTTGTGCCATCAAACCCCTGCAAATTATCCGGAACGCTGCAGCCTGCCTGGTATTCAATCTTCCCAAGTTCTCCCATGTCATCCCGCTCCTCCGCAGACTCCACTGGCTTCCAGTCAAAGCCTGCATCCACTACAAGACCATGGTACTTGCCTACGGAGCAGCAAGAGGAACTGCCCCTCCCTACCTTCAGGCTATGTTCAAACCCTAAACCCTAGCACTTCGTTCTGCCACCTCTGGTCTCTTGGCCCTCCCACCCCTACGGGAGTGCCCAGTCCAAGCTCTTCTCTGTCCTGGCATCCGAATGGTGGAACCATTGTCCCTACCCATCTTCCAAAAACATCTGAAACCCTACCTCTTCAAAGAGCATCTTAACTAATCCCACAGCACCCCCCTCGCACCACCTCCTCACCCCCCCACTTGACTTTTTTTATCCCCCTTACTAGCTCTGACATTGCTGATAGATACAGTGGGGGGGAAAATAATTTAGTCAGCCACCAATTGTGCAAGTTCTCCCACTTAAAAAGATGAGAGAGGCCTGTATTTTCATCATAGGTACATGTCAACTATGACAGACAAATTGAGAAGAAAAAAATCCAGAAAATCACATTGTAGGATTTTTAATGAGTTTATTTGCAAATTATGGTGGAAAATAAGTATTTGGTCACCTACAAACAAGCAAGATTTCTGGCTTTCACAGACCTGTAACTTCTTCTTTAAGAGGCTCCTCTGTCCTCCACTCGTTACCTGTATTAATGGCACCTGTTTGAACTTGTTATCAGTATAAAAGACACCTGTCCACAACCTCAAACAGTCACACTCCAAACTCCACTATGGCCAAGACCAAAGAGCTGTCAAAGGACACCAGAAACACAATTGTAGACCTGCACCAGGCTGGGAAGACTGAATCTGCAATAGGTAAGCAGCTTGGTTTGAAGAAATCAACTGTGGGAGCAATTATTAGGAAATGGAAGACATACAAGACCACTGATAATCTCCCTCGATCTGGGGCTCCATGCAAGATCTCACCCCGTGGGGTCAAAATGATCACAAGAACGGTGAGCAAAAATCCCAGAACCACACGGGGGGACCTAGTGAATGACCTGCAGAGAGCTGGGACCAAAGTAACAAAGCCTACCATCAGTAACACACTACGCCGCCAGGGACTCAAATCCTGCAGTGCTAGACGTGTCCCCCTGCTTAAGCCAGTACATGTCCAGGCCCGTCTGAAGTTTGCTAGAGTGCATTTGGATGATCCAGAAGAGGATTGGGAGAATGTCATATGGTCAGATGAAACCAAAATATAACTTTTTGGTAAAAACTCAACTCGTCGTGTTTGGAGGACAAAGAATGCTGAGTTGCATCCAAAGAACACCATACCTACTGTGAAGCATGGGGGTGGAAACTTCATGCTTTGGGGCTGTTTTTCTGCAAAGGGACCAGGACGACTGATCCGTGTAAAGGAAAGAATGAATGGGGCCATGTATTGTGAGATTTTGAGTGAAAACCTCCTTCCATCAGCAAGGGCATTGAAGATGAAATGTGGCTGGGTCTTTCAGCATGACAATGATCCCAAACACACCGCCCGGGCAACGAAGGAGTGGCTTCGTAAGAAGCATTTCAAGGTCCTGGAGTGGCCTAGCCAGTCTCCAGATCTCAACCCCATAGAAAATCTTTGGAGGGAGTTGAAAGTCTGTGTTGCCCAGCGACAGCCCCAAAACATCACTGCTCTAGAGGAGATCTGCATGGAGGAATGGGCCAAAATACCAGCAACAGTGTGTGAAAACCTTGTGAAGACTTACAGAAAACGTTTGACCTGTGTCATTGCCAACAAAGGGTATATAACAAAGTATTGAGAAACTTTTGTTATTGACCAAATACTTATTTTCCACCATTATTTGCAAATTAATTTATTAAAAATCCTACAATGTGATTTTCTGGAAAAAATAATCTCATTTTGTCTGTCATAGTTGACGTGTACCTATGATGAAAATTACAGGCCTCTCATCTTTTTAAGTGGGTGAACTTGCACAATTGGTGGCTGACTAAATACTTTTTTTCCCCACTGTACTTTATTGAGGAAAAATGTACTTACTATGACTGAGATGTGTGGTTGTCCCACCTAGCTATCTTAAGGTGAATGCACTAACTGTAAATCACTCTGGATAAGAGCATCTGCTAAATGACTAACATGTAAATGTAAGGTAGACATGCAGAACATGCAATAACAACAATATAATGTACTCACCCATGTTGGGCATGGCTAGTTGGCATGGAGACAAGCTGCTCTGGGGAGAGGCTGTGTCTGTGAAAAGTAACCTGGCTATATCCTGGAGACAGATAAACACAGGATTAGCATTGTGTGTGTGTGTGAGATACAAAGAGGGATAGTGATTGGCTTAGACATTCTCTATCATTATCTTGGCTCACCTGTGCTGTGGCCCTCACTTTCTGATACAGAGCAGTGCCATGGATGGGGTCAGGGGGACCACTGTAAACTGAAGGGGAAAACGCAGATTCAGTATAACACTCATAGCTCTCTGAAATCCTGCTGTCATAAAGAGACAGATGAAATGGAGACAGTGAGATGTGTTAGTGGTCATATCATCATCGGCATGTTCATCATCTCACCTGAGGCCTGCTGGATGAAGGTGGAATTCCGTCTAAGTTCCGTCAGCAAGTGAGGTGATCCGTGGCCACAGAGATGGACGAAGATCTTCAGAACCTGGAAGGACAGAAACGATGGAAAGGGAAGAGGGATAAGGCACAGGAGGAACAAATTAATAGATTACATCATTTATGGTGAAGATGAGCTGCATTCTTCTACATGATTCCTCTTCAGCCTCAGTTAACAAACCATGGTCAAATTCAGTGTTTGGGGGCTTCTTAATGCAGGTGAAAGCCTGCTAACCTGGCTAGCTGAGCTCACCTTTATTTTGACATGGCAGGATTCTACCTGCAGCCTCTCCAACAGGTACTCCAACAGGCACTGACCACACCCAGTGGACTCCTGGGAGATTTCTGCAGGGCCAGGACGGTAAAGGGTGCAAACTTTACGGTCTTTGGGTTGACATTGAAAAGAGGTGAATCTTGCGAAATGATCTTTCATATCAGAACAGTGTATCATCATACAGTGGGAGGTGATGGGGTTAAAAGGATACTTCCGATTTCTTCAAAGAGGTAGCCAGGACAAGGCGATTCATCATCTGCTGTTGCTTTCATCAGAGTGGGAACCTGTGAGGGAGAGAGATCATCAGGCATGGATTGGCCAACAGGTATACCCCAGAATAGAACATTTAGCAAGTATTGCCGTCATGTCATATCATCATTTTTGGCTTTATAACAAACAGGGTGGGTCCAGTGTGATATACTGTGGGAAGAAATAATATCAACGGACTGTAGAGCTCAAGTCTGCTACAAGTCTAGTCTGATGATGACATACGACATATGATGACCACTAAGCTACCTTAGTGGTTAAGAGCGTTGTGCCAGTCTTATGGTGTGCTAGCATCCTAACGTTAGCTAGGCTGCTGTGATTGTACAGTAAACAGTGGTTCGTAATGGGATATACAAAACGATTTACTGTACCCCTAAAACGTGACATATACACATTATATCAAAATGTTATTTGCACGTTTTTATATTTGTAAATACCACCTACTTTTTGAAGGAAAGCCAGTCGTTCCATGAATGTTGCCATGATTTTGAAATCTTGACTAGACGCTGCGTGTCTCTTCTTCTTCTTTGAGGTTTATTGGCAGACTACACTCATAAGGTGTATTGTGCCACCTACTGTACGGGGTAGTAAATCATATAATATTCAAATATGTTTTGAATTAACAATGACCAAAAACACTCACCAAATTCACGCTACTACCCTGAATTTCAAACCCAAGAACTGTACTCCTTCAGTCGGATTTATATGTCTATTCAGATTCCTACACACGCTCAGGAAGCTGGGAGGGGGGGACCTCTTAATTCAGTACTCCCTGTAACATTTCGGCTGTAAAGTTCAGGAAATCCAGAAATCTATTGGCTGCCTTCACAATGATGTCTAGCTTCTTTTATTTTGTATTAGTTTGTCTAGTGCAATTTATAACTTGCTCTATAAACGCAACAAAGTCCACACCGCTCGCATTACATGCTGACCACACCGCACCGGTCGCATGCGCGAGCGTTGAAAAATTAATGTTTACATACATGTTATTCAATCATTGCACCCACACTGCTCGCGCGCTTCTACGAGCGTCTGCGTGGCCAGGAGCTAAAATATAACTCGGTTCTATTTGTGACGCTCAACGCGCTGCAAGTCCTGCCTCTCCCATCTCCTCATTGGTTTTTAGGAGCATATACCCACGTGGGTGATTGAAAGATGAACTGAGGTCCACACTCCAGTCCAGTTGATTGTGTTAATGCACCTTAAAGTTGGTTGCCAACCGCTATATAAAGTCCAAAAAAGAAGAAGAAGAAGAAGCCTGAAGGGAGTGGCGAGCTCAGGAGAGTGAGCGTAACAAGTGCCCATCGATGGTGGTTGGAAGAGCGCTCTTATTTGAAATGGAAAAGCGTTGTGGTAGCTATTGATAAAGAAGAACATCAAGATGCGCTCTGTGGGATGCACTGTTGAGCGTTACATCCTGAGGGGTTCGTGCTGATTGTACGGAGATTGTGACAGCTGGTTAAATGGCGTCCCTTGAGAAGGCAAGAACAAGATGTATGTCAGGAGAAGCGCTGTATTATCATAAGGAGACATATACTTGGAATACGGAGGAGGAATGGAGGGAAAAAGAGAGGCAGAGGAGGTCTAAGAGAGAGGGGGAGGAAGAGGGTGAGATTGAGTCTGTCAAAAATGGTGAAAAAAGGGAGATGGTTTGTTAAAGAAGAATGGTAGAAAGTATAAGCAGAGTGAGCTGAAGACAGTAGCTGAAATGGAAGTGAATGAGGGTGAAGTATAGGAGGTGGTAGGTGTGGTGAAGTTCTTGGAGTCCAAGGGTCAGGATAAAGATGAGTCTGTGACAGTAGGAGTTAAGTTTTAGGAAAAGGTGGAACCTTGTCTTTTGGCTGATCCATTTGTCGTTTCAGGGTGGGTGAAAACAGAGTTGGGTGCTGTGGAATTGATGAGGGTAACCAGAAGTGGTTTTGTAATAATTGTTTGTGTTTCTGCTCGTCATAGGGAGCAGGTGCTCCGCGTTAAATGAACGGGGGCAAGAGATGTGAATTGTTTTCCGCTCAAGAAAAGGGTGCCATTGAAAGGAGTGATTACTGGGGTAGCAGTAAATGTAAAAGTTGACCAACTGAAGGGGAAGATTCCCGGTGTTTGTGATGCTCGTCGTTTGGTGCGACGCAGACAGGGTGGCGTGAGTGGTGAAACAGAAGAGTCATTGTCTGTTCTTTTGAGTTTTGATGTTGAGTTGTAGTGTCGAGTCAATGTTGCTAATGATGCTGTTAAACAAAGGAGTCCGCTTATACTGAACTTTGATCATAAGTTTTATTCATATCACAAGATTTCAGCATAAGTGTACAGATGTCTAGATCACCCGGAGAGCAGTGTTTCCCAAATTGCAATGGCCGCTCTAACGTTCTTTGTTCAAACCCAGTATTTATAATATTCCCCAAAATATGGGTTGCTCCCTCTACTGTCCAATCCCCTGTCTTCTATGGGGCGTCACCCTAAAAACGGCTCCCTTTCTTCTAAATAAACATCCTCTCAGGTTCCACTTAAAACCTTATCAAAGTCATAATCTTAATACACTACATATTTCCCCCCTTCGAGACTAACTAAAAGTCTCGAAAACAAAAAGAATAGGATTATGACAAGTAACAATTTCTCTTATTGAGTATCTTTAACAATAAACCCAAAACACTTTTCTCTGGAGTGTAAATACCTTTCTATGAAATATGAACAAATCTTTATGAAGTGTGAATACATTACTATGAAATATGAACAAATCTTTATGGAGTGTGAATACATTACTATGAAATATGAACAAATCTTTATGGAGTGTGAGAGCGAAAAACCTGTCTGGCAGCCTTCTTTCCAAATATCCATCCATCAATCAAGACAGTACAATTCTCTCACGGCCCCTCTGCCCCAGGCAACCACCTAGGTACTCCAGATCAATTCATAAATCTTTATCAATGCATTTGAAACTATGATGCAATTAAATACACATGAAAGCCCCAGCAAACAAAATACTATCCAAAAAATGTCCACACTAAGGCTGGTCGACCCATCGGACCCTACGGTGGATTATCTCTATCCCTGCCTAGACTCCATGTCCCTAAGCTTCCACGAAATAAACAAAAACATCTAAGATCCCCACATGTATTCAATAACATCAAATATCATTCTACAAAAATTAATACCTAAGAATATGACACAAATTATGTATTACACATGCAAATATGTCTATATTTCATTGCAGACACTGGAATGTAGTCCACTACACTTCATCTCCTCAGCAGTCTCGACTTCCAATGCATCTTTGATGATGGAATTGGAACATTTCCACACCTTCCTTGTTCCATCTCCTCCAGTCCCTTCATATTGTCCTTTCATATTGTCCTTGTTTGAGTATTTCAATCTCTACATATTCCCCCAAATGCTTCTGGAAGAAAAGAAAAGACCAAACAGTATCTTTGGCAAAACAACACTTTCAAATTAAAACATCAATATCAACTAAGAATATAAAAATGATATATAAATGATATATGAATCACATTATCCTATTTCCCCCCTTTGATTCATAACAAAATACTAAAATCACACTAATATTGAAAAACATTTAAAAAATGATCAAATAATCAAAAAATGATATTTATCCATCAATACTCCATCCAGTCCCACTTGTCCCTCTTCATCCAGATCAGGAACAGTCAACAACGGCATCTGAGAGTTGTCTCCAGGCATCACTACTCCAACCCATCTCAATATCATAGCTTTCGCAAAGGTCAGTAACAAATTACAAAAGCAAAACATCACACACAGTGCTATCAAAGCTGCTATTAAAATCTGAACCATCACTGCTCCCACTGGGCCTAACTGATCTTGCAACCAAGACTTCACTGACCATCCAGCTCCTTCAGATCTACCAAATGCATCCCTTATATTCTTCAATGCATCTATAACACTAGTGATATTATCTGAACTATCTGGAATCAAAGTATAGGTAATATTATCAATATGATCTTCCCAAATTTTACACCATACCATGGAAAAATCCCCACTTCTCTCTTAGACTTATCCTCCAATGATAGGCTTCCCAGACTATGAAATTCCTCTAAAATTGGTGCTGGAGCTATCTGCTCCCTTGTAATCAAATGCAATACATTTATGGCTTTAATAACTATCAATGTTGAACGAGTTAAATTGCTTCTCACTGTTGTTATAATAGACTGAAGTATTGATGTCCTTGTTGTTACTTCATCCATTCTCCCTAAGACTTTTAACTCCTTACTTGTATTTCCATCTATCACCACTAGTGTCACTACATTCACTCTCTCTTCCTACTAACATTGAAACTTAGCTTACTGTCCTAGAGTTCCTTCAACCCTAGTTCTCCTAACTTTTTTAATCTATTCTTTTCTCCTAACTTTTAAAAACCCTTTCCACTGATTTATTCACAAAAGCCCTTACCACCAATTTTTAGAATATGTGATTGGGTAATCCCCTGTCTAGACTTCTTTACACACAGACTTGGCAAACGACTAAACATCTTTTAGCCTAGTTTGAAATCTCTTGCACCTCTTGGTGTAGGAATGTAACCAAGAATAACAGTCACCCCTTTTAACTTTATTTTTCAGACAGATTGTCTAATAGGCAGTCTAATAGATTCCCAAAAACCCTACTCTTTTAAAATCTTCTACCAGACAGCCGTCTAGTGTACATCTTATTGTACAGTTCAATTTACACAATGCATCTCTTCCCAACAATGCAATAGGTATATGTTCTAATACCAGTATGTGTATTTTAATTTCTCTTTGATTTTTTATAGCAGAGCTCAATTGGTTCCTTAAGAGTAATCAGCTGTTTTACTCCCTCAAATCCCTATCCTAATTAGTTAATTTTACATAGTGAGATGTTTAACCTCTTTAGGCTCAACACAGATAAAAGCTTTTCCACTATTCACCTCTCCTCGTCCTTTGTTTTCACTTCAATTGTTAGATATTTTTTCTCCCTAATCGGTGCTATCATCTGACACCCCCCTTCGGATCTTCTAGGCACTCTAGAATCCTTGCTCCTTTAAGGGTTCACCTGTCCTCCAGTTGATCTTC